TTTCTCAATGTGTTTATTCAAAGCAAAAAAAAAAACATGTGCACTTTTATTTACAACACACCATTTATCAGCAGTTTTGTTCGTTAGAGAAAGAGCGGAATGATAGACGTCGTTGAGGTTTTGTAGGCGATATTTATTTATGAATTGCATTTATCGATTGTGTAAATTATTCATCACAACATTTCAAATTATTGATTTTCTTTTTGGCCTCAGAATCGAACGATTTGAAGTGCGTTTCTTATCGATTTCACATAAATCTTTTAGCTCGGAATTTTTGTTTGTTTTGCAATCTGTTATGATATTACTACGTTCATTTGCCGTCGCATTAAAATCGAGAGTAATAATAGTTATTTTAGAGTTATAACAGTTATTTACTTTTGTGGCTGATGTGTCCGCAGTTGTTTTTTGGGAGAGATGTTGATCTTGAAATGTTTTGCAGAAGGGTATTTTTTATACGGAAGCTGAAGTTTGTGCAGTGCCGAGTACGAGTGCTGCGAGCGAGGCACGAACCGAGAAAGTGCTTCTCGAAAATTTATCCCTTCTTGAAGCGGGTTCGTTCATTCTGAACTGTTATATGAACGAAACACATGTTTGTTGATGAATTCTTTCATGAAACCTTTCAAATTATCTGAAGATGGTGGTCATCAATCAAACGAACGAGTGAACTTTCAGTACTGAATGATGTGCCGCGTCATAAAATCAAAGAAAAATCACGCGATAAAACCTCCTCAATAAGTCCAACGGTTAACTCAACAAGTGCGCCATCAATAAAGGACGAAAAATCACAATTGCAACAGATACGTGATCGAGAGATGCGTGAATTGCATCACGAAAAGCAACAGCAAAATGGGGCTCATATCAAGAATAAGGATAGAAACAACGATATTATGGTTAGTTCGTTGCTGAAGTGCTTGTTGATTGTTCGAAAAGCTTTGGTTCTATCGTCTATCGTTGCCTTGAGTAGAATCGATTGATCTGATGATATAACACGCATTTTATAAATCAGCGTCAGAGATACAGTAGTATTCGAATGATAGTTGCAAGCACATGATAAGTGGCACCGTGCAAGTGCAACTTTTCAGATCTCTACCCCATCAACGTCTTCGAATATATCGTCGACATCAAATACGAGCACGACCACCTTGCCGAATACATGTTGTTCGATATCACCCGCAGTAGCGACGACAAGTTCCAACACAGTAATGAGCAATAATAATACTGTGAACACTCATCAGTTCTATACATCCTCAATCAACAGTAGCAGTAACATCAGCTCAACAACGTCAAACAACAACACTAGTAATAACAGTGCGTTGAACAATATACAGCAGTCGAACGCAATACTGTCCAGTCAGCATCCTTTCATCAAGCAACAACCGCAGTCTCAGTCTCAGATAAGTGCACGAGATCGTGAGTGTCGTGATCGAATCCTGAATGGTCAAGTTGGTAAGGCCAAAGTGGCTGCTGCTGAACTGCGTGCTGCACAAGCCAACAATGGGTTAGTTAATTTCTTTAAGAATTCATTGTCACATTATTTTGTGCAGTAATCGTTCTTTTAATTCATTTTTACTGATTTCCCAATTATTGAATTTAATTGTGTTCGTGTGAAAATTTGTTGCTTTCTATCGTCGAATTTTTGACTGTTCATTAGATGCTTTATTCATTAGTGTTCATCGAGATGCGTATTCAGTTTTGTTCGTTGAATTCGAGAGTGATTCGTCAAGTATGCACATTGTCTGACGATGCAGTCGTGAGACTGTAAACATTTGTGAATGAACGTTTGGAAAGAGCGAATGTGATCTTTACTGAAAATGAATTGATTGTAGAGCAGTGAATGGGAGTCCAATGGAGGTTGATGGTGTTAATGTGGCACATATGAATAACGGTAATGGTGCGTTATCAAGTATTCAAATGGAAAATCGACCTTATGAAATCAACCGAGACAGGGTTATTATTCTTTTTTTTTCATTTATTGTTTTATTCATTCGAAGACGAAATTTGTTATGGCATTTTGAAAGAGGGGAGTAATGGTGCGATTGTGTTTGTTGTTTTCAAATGAAATTTAGTGCAGTGTTATTCGTCATAGTGAACTTTTAGCAGCAATTCAGAACATTTCTTCTCAGTCAAAATATTTCTCTCATAGGCTTTATAACTGTATAATAGAAGATAGCTCTTCTGACAGTTTACATTGTTAAAATGAATCCTGAAGAGGAACATCATTATAGGTGAGGTATTTGAAAGGCCATGAAAGTGAAGTGTTTATATGTATGTGGAATCCAAAGAACGATCTCATTGCATCCGGGTATGTGCATAAACATACATTCGTTTTTGATGACATTGATGGAAATATTATTATTCCTTGCAATTATTTCGTTTTTGAAGCTTGCATTTTTTTATTTTGAAAAGTTCCTTCCAGATGTGTCGAACTCGAGAGTGAAACCAAATGTTGAGCCTAAGTATTGTTTTGAGGATTTTTCTTTAAAGATTCCAAATATAACCTTTCAATAAATAGCAGAAAATAAATTTCAGGTCAGGTGATAGTACTGCGCGTATTTGGAATTTGAAAGGGTCTGAATCAGCGAGCACTTCGTCTCAGACTATCGAAGAGAATTCATTGGTTTTGAAACATTGCATTCAAAAGGATGATAAGCAGATACCGCCGCCAAATAAAGATGTTACATCACTGGATTGGAATGTTTGTTTTGTTTACTGATTCGTTTGTTTGTTTGTCTCGGTGTTTTGTATTCATTCATCTGTCCGATTATATTCTTATCACTAGTGATCAGCGTAACCGTATCATTCAAATTGCAAACCATCAACAGTTGCAAAAGAAAAATAAATTTTGTTTGCAGTGCACTGGGGATCTGTTAGCGACGGGCTGTTATGATGGTTATGCACGAGTTTGGGCAACGGATGGTTTGTTTTTCATTCATTTTATTCACAAATTACTTTACTGACTTGTTATCGAATCGATTATTTCATTGTTTCGGTTCCAAATGTTCTGTTGGTCTTTATAATGATGTGTAGTTTGACAGAGTTCATCTGCTGAAGATATTCATTATGCTAAGAGTCANGTTTTAGTAAAATGATAAAACGCTTGTTTAAGTTTCCAGTCGCTTCCCAGAATGGGTTTGAAATATTTCATTTTCTATTCCCATTCTCAAAAAATTTGCAAAGAAGTATTTTATGTTTCAGGTCGGTTACGTTATACGCTAGGTGCGCATAAGGGTCCAGTATTTGCACTGAAATGGAATCAGCACGGTGATAAAATACTGAGTGCTGGAGTTGATAAGGTATGAATCACGTCGGAGAATGATATTGTCCGCATATGTTTTTACAAAATTTTGTCATTTTTATCAGCCAACAGTTTGTTTCGTGTGTGAGATGTTTGTGTTGAATTTGTTTTAAAACTATTGCGAAATAGTTAAAGTAGTCTTAATGAAACAATTGTTAGAAGTGAATGAAAATTGAAGAATGTAACGTAACGATAAAGTTACAGACAACAATAGTATGGGATCCAATGAAGGGTGTGCAAATGCAGATGTTTCAATTTCATAGCAGTTCGACTTTGGATGTTGATTGGATGGCAGATGACATGTTCGCATCGTGCAGTACTGATACGTGCATTCATGTTTGCAGACTTGGTTGTGAAAAACCTCTGAAGACATTCCAGGTATACGCCACTCCATGCACACATCTGGCAACAAATGAAAAAATAGAGACTTCATTTTTTGAAGTTATCGTTAATTTATCGAGAACAAAATTTTTGCTGTTTTTGCCGTTAAACTAAACACAAATACAAAACGATTCATTGAAGGGTCATTCGAATGAAGTGAATGCTGTAAAATACGATTCACACTCAAGATTGCTTGCATCATGCTCAGACGATATGACTATTAAGGTTAGCTGTTCGGAATTCATCATTTATTTTGTAGTTTATAGGAGGTAATTCTGGGATTTGGTTGCAGCTAATGGTCCAGTTTTGCACTATTTTCTTCTTTCACGTTTAATTCTACGGTTACTGGTGGAAATAGTTGATTCACAAGATATTTCATTTAAAGGTCTGGTCGATGAGTAGTGACTCAGCAATTCATAACCTTATGGCACACAACAAAGAGATCTACACAATTCGATGGTCACCG